ACTTAAGTGTTAGTTAAACTACATTTGACACATGAGTGTTAGCTAAACAAAGGTTGGCACTTAAGTGTTAGTTAAACTACATTTGACATAAGAGTGTTAGCTAAACTAGGGTTGACACTTAAGTATTAACTAAACTATATTTGACACACCAGATTTAGCTAAACTATGTATACACCTCAGTGCTGGCTATACTAAGTTGTCTGTTAAAGATAACGCACCCCATTGTTGGTTTCTATACATAACGTAACCTATCATTTGATGATAAAGATAAAATTTTCTATTGCTGCTGGCTGTTACAGATAAATGTATCCTATTGGTGGCTTCTCAAGATACGTAGAATATTGTTGATTGTTACAGGACATAACCTATCGTTGCTTTATACAAATAACGTATCTTATTCTTGATTGTTACATGTAATGTAACAGATGACTGGTTGATCCAATTAACGTTTCCTACTGTTGTCTGTTACAGTTAACGTATACTATTGTTAAATGTCTGAGATGACTTATAGTATCGTTAACTCCTATACTGTTGTTAAAAGTCTGAGATGACTTATAGTATCGTTAACTCCTATACTGCTGTTAAATGTCTGAGATGACTTATAGTATCGTTAACACAGAAGTTGTTTCAATTATTTATTTATTTACATTTTGCAGAAAAACAAGATATCGATCTACTTAGTTATAAATCTGAAGATGTTCATTCACCGAAACTACACAGAAGGCACCAGAAGACAATGTCACAAATTTCAGGAGTTAAACAAAACCTCTGCCACAAAAACAGCTTGGCTAAACTGCCTAAACATGGAGTAAAAACTCCACATGAAGAAGAACTAGGACAGGTAAGTCAAAGAAAGAATCGAAACCGGATTTCTAGCGTTGTAAATCTGCAGACATACCACTATCCCACTGGAGGGGAATTGATGTTTTTGATTCTTAAATAATTGTAAAACAATATTTAGTGTAAGTTCAATTATTTCTACAATAGATGTAAACCAATATTTAGTGTAAGTTTAATATCTTCTTAAATTTATGTAAAGCAATATTTAAACTAAGTTTAATTATTTCTTAAATAGACGCAAGCCAATAATTTGGGTAAGTTTAATGACTTTTTATGTAAATATAAACCGATATTTAGTGTAAGTTTAATGACTTCTTAGATATACGCAAAACATTATTTAGAGGAAGTTTAATGTCATCTTAATTGACTTCTTAAATAGATGTTAATCAACATTTATGGTAAGTTTAATGTATTCTTAAATAGATGTAAACCAATATTTAGGGTAAGTTTAATATATTTTTAAACAGATGTAAACCAATATTTAGAGTAAGTTTAATGTATTTTTAAATAGATGTAAACCAATATTTAGGGTAAGTTTAATGTATTATTAAATAGATATGAACCAATATTTAGGGTAAGTTTAATGTATTATTAAATAGATATGAACCAATATTTAGGGTAAGTTTAATGTATTCTTAAACAGATGTAAACCAATATTTAGGGTAAGTTTAATGTATTTTTAAATAGATGTAAACCAATATTTAGGGGAAGTTTAATGGCTAGAATTGTTCTAATTTCTTTTTTTTATCATATATAATCTATTCAAAAACAGCTTATGTGTTAAAAAAGTGAGTCTAAAAAAGAATTCAATGTGCGACTTGAAGGAATGAAATCAAATTGGTGGCCAAACTGGTAGCTAGACTTATAGCATTGATAAGAATTTTACAGCAATTATTCATTCATTAGTTAGCCAGGCTGTGTTTTTTGTTCAACTTTGGGCATGATGGTGGATAAAACAAAATATGCTTGCTGAATCGTTTTGTGGCTACACTTATTTTTCACACCTAAGGTGTTTTTGATTAGATACCATGATATTTTGTCAATACACATCAACAAATCACACCAAATAAGAAAGAGACACTCGATAGTAACCAGCATTAGCTTTAGGATCGCAACCCTATTATTTGTAACAGGCTTTTTATTGACATAATTAATCTCATTCTTTAAAATATATGGTGGTAGTTTTCCTCTCTAAAACTGTGTTAGTAGCTTCCTTTATAGTAACGCCATGGAATTTAGATTAACAGTTTATTGTCATCACCTCATGCAATCGGTACAGCCATATCAAGCATCGTTATTTATGCTAATTGCTTAAACTAATATCATGTGATGCTAAACGCTTTTTAATTAAGATAATTTTATAAAATTAATAAATTTGTTTTGAAAAGTTGGTAATGAATAATCAATAATAACCGTTCACCCATATGATTCTTTTGAAAACTGGAGCTAGAAACTGCTAATCTAGTTTGCTTGGCCTCACTAATACTTATGTATCTGTACATCCTTTACCTTATAGTTTTGCTGCTCTAAATCAGCATTTTTAATCCCAATTACAAAAAACTAAAAACTGTCCACTTTTACTCTTAGCTGAAGCTGTAGTAGAAAGTTCAGACCGATAGTTCACGTTATTTTTTCGTAGGCGTGCACAAAAAGTTTCGTTAAATTTGAGCGATTTTTGTTGAGTAAATTTGCAAATGTGGCTTATAGTTACACCAAATGCGACTCCTAAATGTGAGTTGTAAAGACCTATCAATGTACCAAATTTGAAAAAAAAAATCCATAAAACTTAAATATGTTTTTCTATGAAATAAAGTTATTGGAGGGACAACTGATAAACAGACTGAAGACAACAGGAAGACAAACAATAGTTCGGGACAAGTGACTCAGGAATACGTGAGGACACACAATATTGGAGGGACAACTGATAAACAGAATGAAGAGAAAGGGAAGACACATACTTGCTGAAACAAAGAGTTCTCTTCAGAATAATGTTTTTAAGTAAAAATCAGTACAGGAGAAACTGACATTTTATTTAATCTAAACGTTCATCGGTCTCGTACCAGACGTTAATGACAGTTAATACTTCCGCATGTTTTGATTTAGCAAGGATTTTCATTCCGGATGATCAAAGTAGCAAGCTTTAATTTCCTATGATTTTGTTATATTAACATTTTATTTCCTCTAAACGTTCATCGGTCTCGTACCAAACGTTAATGACAGTTAGTACTTCCGCATGTTTTGATTTAGCAAGGATTTTCATTCCGGATGATCAAAGTAGCAAGCTTTAATTTCCTATGATTTTGTTATATTAACATTTTGTTTACTCTAAACGTTCATCGGTCTCGTAACAGACGTTAATGACAGTTAATACTTTCGCATGTTTTGATTTAGCAAGGATTTTCAAGCTGGAAACAAAGTAGCAGGCTTTAATTTCCTATGATTTTGTTATATTAACATTTTATTTATTTTTTACATTAGAAAATATTCTGATTTTTTTTTCTGTTGTAGTTTTTGGAGCAGGTGGATAAGTGGGGCATCGACATTTTTGAAATAGTAGATTTAGCCAACAGTAGGCCACTCACGGCCGTCACCTACACAATATGGAATGTAAGTATCAGCTTCTTCTGTGGTGTTTCTTAATACTAGAATAAAACTATGTACCTGATGATGACAAAACCTTGTCGAAACGTTGTACATTTGCTGTCATGTTAAACTTATATTAAAGTTTTTCTTCATTACCCATTTAAGCCGTCTCCAGCCATTATATATTGTTATACTCATACATATGCGAATTATGTAGTAACAAATAAACAGATTACTTGACTGTTTGTTTTTCCAAAGATTAACATTACCACGTGAATATTTTATATTAATATTTTAAACAACTTATTGCTACTAAATTAGTATTTTATCGTGTTTATTTAATTTGTACTGCAACTTATATTTGCTTACAGCAACGAATAAAATAATTATATTTTCAAAACAATTTCAAAACTAAACACCAAGTTTTATAGCTCTTAAAAGTAAAATTCTGGTGTTTTATAATTTTAATTACACGTATCTGACATTAAGAAAAATAAATAAATTCTCGCAATTTTTGTACGCTGTATCCAAATTGTAATGTTTGTATGTTTTTAGTAGACGATATGTTCAGTTATTCATACAATAAAACACCTACAACGGTTGAATTTGTTAACGGAACACTGGAATTATTTCAACAATTTGTTCTAAATCTAAATGGCCAGTTTATCTCCAACGTTTTGTTTCTGTTAGATCACGATGTACTCATTACAAACAAAGCTCCTTATAGCCGTAGAAATAATAACGAAGGATTGACTGTATCTATAAGGAATCGTATTAACGTATTTTATTACCATGTCTATAACACAACTAAATTTTACTTCATTATTATGTCTGTAAAAGAGATTTAAAACACTTGTTTAAATCGAAGGTAAAAAATACGGCATATTGCATAAACCAGTATGCTCACTACTCAGTAGAGGCAGACACTACTACAAGCAGTGATATTCTCCACGATCTAAACACGCTAGAAAACAGTATCCTGTCCCCAAAGAATTACTAGAAATTATTAAGAACCATAGAAATCATCATAAAACTGGACGAGTAACTACACTGTCTGTGATAATACTAGTGAAATCATCATAGAACTGGACGAGTAACTACACTGTCTGTGATAATACTAGTGAAATTATCATAGAACTGGACTAGTAACTACACTGTCTGTGATAATACTAGTGAAATCATCATAGAACTGGACGAGTAACTACACTGTCTGTGATAATACTAGTGAAAT